TCATAGGGGAGCTCTATGTGGAGTCTTTTGAGGAACCTCCATACTACTTTCCAAAGTGGTTGAACAAGTTTACATTCCCACCAACATTGCAGTAGGGGGTTCCCTTCTGTCCACATCCCTTCCAGTGTCTGTTTATTAGAGTTCTTGATTCTAGCCATTCTAACTGGGGTGAGGTGGTATCTCAATGTTATTTTGACTTGCATTTCTTTTATGGCTAGGGAGGTTGAACATTTCTTCATGTGTCTATAGTCCTTCCTTCTTTCCTCTTCAGAGAAGTTACTCTTTAAGTCCTTAGGCCACTTATTTATTGGGATGATGTTAACTTTGCTTTTATGTTTCCAATGTCAGATGCAAGATGTGACATCTAGATGACCCAGTCTTCATTTTTCCTGTCTGCATCTCCAGGAAATTGTCTCAATCACTTGTAATGCCAGTAGGAGACATTGTATCAGTTTATCCTGGTATCAGCAGAAACCAGGGAAAGCTCCTATATTCCTGATCTAATATGCAATGAGTTTACAATTTGGGGTCCCTTTCAAGTTCTGTGGTAGTAGGTTTTGGACAGGGTTCACTTGGACCAACAGCAGCCTTCAGTCTGAAGATGTCACAAGTTATTACTATCAACATGGTACTGGTTTTTCTCCCAGTGTAATACATAACAAAACCCTATTGACCTGTCTAACTGGAAACAGCAAAATTTGTCCTTTTGTAAAACCCCAGGGGCTCATCTCCTTATTAGAGACAATATTCTTCACACATCAGCCCACCTGGGATGGTTGTCAGCAACATTTACCCATGCTTTCCAGCTGGGAGGAAAGAGAGTGAATCCAGCACATTGCCTTGAAGGCAGTCCATGTACCAGATGGTTTCCCCAATGATGACCCAGTCCATTTGGAGCAAATCTTTCCTCAGACTTGCCCAAGCTGGGACTACAAAAGTGATTGAGATAAGGAGGCACTTTTCAATTATCACCACCCTGTTAGCAGAGATACAGGAAATGGCTAGGAACCCAACTAATTTATCTATGTGAGTGAGACTCTACAGCTCTCCAATGAGTCCCCTAATGCTTTTCTGTAATGGCTCCTAGAGGCCCCTAGGCACTATATGGCTATAGATCCTGAGGCCCTGGAGAATTGAAGGGCCCTAAATATGGCCTTTGTTAACCAGTCAGCCCCAGATATTTGAAGAAAGCTTCAAAAGTTAGAAAGTTTTGAGGGAAAGGTGTTATCTGCATTGGTAGTGGTTTCTCAGTGGGTAGTTGATAACAGAGATACCCTGGAAGAAAAATAGTCTAAGAAGGAACTTTGAGTTTAGGTAGCAGCACCAGGATAGGGATCAAGAAACACTTGGCAAAAACAGTATAATTCATTTGCAAATGGCAGTAGGGAATGTCTAGGAGGAGATCAGTATGCTTACTGCAAGCAAAAGGACAATGTGATGTCACTGTGGAGATGATATCCCAAAGCGATAATGATGGTACAATGGCATGTCTGACCTCAATTGTCTTTAATTTAAATGATGATATGGTTACTCAAAGAGACTGTGATGCACCAAAGGCCATATGTTATTTCAAATGTGCTAAGAGGTCATAATAGGTTTAGGATGTCACAATGTGATTGTGATGTCACAATGGCAATGCTACCCACATAGGGTTGGTGTTGTCACAGTGGTGATGAGGTCTCTATTGGATAGTGATGTCACAACAAATTTGTAATATCGCCATCACATGTCCAATTTCAATTGCTACAAGCTCACAATGAAGATACCAGTTCAAGGAAGGAGCTAGAAGTCAGAAAGGCCATAAATTTTCTAAAATATTATGAGGATATTATAGGTTTGTGAAAACACAATGGGACAGTTATATTACATTGGCAATGTGATGTTACAGTATCATGTCATAATAATGTTTTGATGTCACAATTAGTTGGTGATGAGGTCATAATAGGTTTGTGATGTTGTGATGGGTTGATGATGTCATTTCATAATGCTATGATATCATTGTAGTTTGGTAAGTCACAATGAGCTGATGGTGTCATAATGACAATGTGATTTCACACTGGTGATGATGTCACAAGGGGTTTATGATGTTACAATGGCATGATTGATCTCAAGAGTTATTAGTTTACAATATTATCATACAAAGAGACTAGGTTTTTCCCCAAATCTATTATGAACTCATAACCTTTTAGAAAATTCCTGGTCTTTGGCACTTTTAGCTCCTACCTTGAACTTATATCCTAATTGTGAACTAGTTGCAATTGAAATTAGATATGCCATTGTGATATTACAAACTCATTAGTACATCACAAATCCATTGTGACCTCAAAAACAGTGTGAAATAACAAACCTATTAGGACCTCTTAGCAAATTTGAACCCATCCCCTGTTGTGAACTAATGACAATTGAGATCAGACATGTCATTGTAACATCACAAACCCTTTCTGACATCATCATGAGTGTGACATCACAGTGTCATTGTAACACTAACAGCTCATTGTGACATCACATAATAAAAACATAATAGCATTATGACATCACATTGTCACATTGATGTCATATACACATTTGAAAGACTATTCTGATTTCATTCTATTCAAATGTGGCATGTGTGTTGATATCAGAAACCTATTTTGACCTCATGAACATTGTGACATTGCAATCCCTTTTGACATCATGTTGCCATTGTACTAACCCTAACCCACTGTGACTTCACCAACCTGTTCTATTCTCATAAATGTTTGACATGCTGCCATTGTGATATCTTACTCCTATTTTGGGCTCACAGTCTGTTTTCGACCTATTTCAGGTAAGATATGTGATATCAGGAATCCACTGTGACATCATGATCATTTTTACATCTCACTGTCAGATATCATGACCATTGTGTCACATTGTGACATCACAAACCTGTTAGTACTTCATCACATGTGGCAACACATACTTTTTGAGGCATCATAATCCCTTTGTGAACTCATATAGTCATTGTGAATTTGTGACAATTGAGACCTGACATGGAATTTTGACTTCACTCACCCATTGTGACATCACAAACCTATTGTGACCTCATCACCAGTATGACATTGTGATATCAAAACATTATTATGACATGATAGTATGACATCACATTGCCATTGTGATATCGATCCCATTGTGTTTTCACAAACCTATTATGACCTCATAACATTTCAGAAAATTCATATCCTTTAGGAACTCAAGTTCTTTCTGTGAACTTGTATCCTCATTGGTAACTAGTAGCAGTGAAAATGGGACATGTCATTGTGATATTAGAAACTTGTTGTGACATCGCAAACCCCTTCTGACCTCATCACAGCTGTGACATCAAATCCATTGGGACATCACATTCCCATTGTGAAATTACAGTTACATTGTGACAACCAAAATATATTATGACCTCTGAG